GTGCCCGAGTCCTCGAGAGCCGAGATCTTGGCTGCCAGACTGCTGGCAGCAGATCCGGCAAGGGGTTCCGATGCGAGCGATGAACGCGTTCGTGTGGCAAGATTCCGCAAAGTCGGGTACGGAGACGTCACAGGTCGGCTGACGCTGGGATCTCCCGACTGTGAAGGATCGGAATTTTCGGGAGTGCGTCGAAGTGGGGGCTCCGGCCGTGATTTCGTGGGCGCAAGCGAGGACTGGGCGGGAGCGACCGATTTCTGCTCCGTCGAGTGTGCTGAGTCACTGGGTGAAGCAGAATGGCTGGTCGGGGCATCGGGCGACGACGGACATCCATTCAGACGCGTGCTAACGGATCTAAAAGTGCACAATAACGGATGGAAAATCAGTAGACGCCAACGTGACTAGAATGCCTGTTAATATTCACAGGCACACGGTGGTAAACCAAATAATTATTCATAGAAGCACTAGAGACAAAGATCCTTTTCTAAATTGATAAAAAAAAAATACCTGATAATTTTCGACCTATAGCTTTTTTCGATGATGTCTAACCTAGTCGAGTTCGATAGCAAGAGGGGGCATGAAGTGTATTTATCTAATGTCGTCGACAGAAAACGACAGAATAAGCGGTGTGATTACACCATCGTTACGCTGAAATTTGCGAAGACGACACTTAGAGCCTGGGCGGTTGCAAAATAATAAACTACCGGGAATTCAAAGTAGTAACAGAAAAAGTAAAATAAAGCAATTCCTGTCCCCGCATATGTAAGCACACATGTCACCGTTGGAAAATGAAGGTGAGAGCAAAAATAAACGTACACTAAAATACCGTTACTAAATCTTGTAAATCGAGGATTCTTCTGTTTGAAATCTGGAAGACCAAAGGTCTGATCATTCGGCTAACTAACATAAAATTCCAGACTCGTAAGACTGAGGCAGTAGCCCGAGGTCTGAGCGTATCGAAACATGAATCACATGCCTGTAGACAGTCACGGCAGCCGAGTTTGCCTATAATAACGGAGTGGGAGCATAAAGGCAAGCTGTAGGCGCTCAACCTCTCTCGATCTACGGGTTGTAAAGGGCGATTAATGATCTGTGCGGTTTAAGTAGAGTATTAAACGGACGCCATCACTGGCAATAGTTCCCACGGAGTTGACAGACATCTTAAAATAATCTAGATTCGTTTCGTCCGGGAAGAGGTCGCGGACAGGCAACCACTGACTGGGGCGCCGGCGCTAGACAAAGACACTGAAGACTTCATAAACAGCCGCTTTTTAGTCTTCCCGTCCTTCGTGGCCCACTTGAGAGACTGGGGACGATTCCGGCGGTCAAAATGAATGTTCTTGTGGCCAGATTGGAGAATGTGCTTCCTCAACGCTTCAGATAATTGGTACGGTACTAGTTTCATGGAGTCCTATACTAAACCGGTCAGTGTACTGATAATTTGTATCTTGTTTGACATCGCCTGTCTTACTCCGTTTCCGAAAGCCCTACACGACTATTTATCTTAAAAATGTAAATAATACTAACCAACTAAAGGAGACCAGTCGCACATCAGAGCAAAACGTTTGCATTTCTGAGCTTTAGAGCTCGTACAGGAGGCAAAAAAACAAAGTTGTTGGGTTTAAGAGGCAGTATAGTCAATTAGCAGGCGCTGATGAGGATTAGGGAAGTGTAGAAGGGTGCATGTTTAGTATTCCGATTGATCGAGTTTTCACAAGAGCTGTAGGCTCTGGCCCAGCTGACAGCCTATCCTACACTCTATTTAAGTGGTTACCTTCGTGGACGAGGAAGAGAAGCAACGACAAGCCTGCTGTTTGGAGAGGGAATTCCAAAAAATCACACGATTCTATAAAGTGAGACTGAAAAGGAGGATCGCGTTGGTTATCATTTGACTAAGGGATCATTTTTAGCGGGGACACACTTGAACACGATGCCTATCAGTTTTGACCATCGTAATTTTAACTTCTTTTTTAACAAAAAACGCTATTTGCCCAATTAAAAAACCACGGCGTTGGTCATTAGAAGGCGTCACTTTGCGAAAATTGGCAGCCGATACCCACAACATGTTAAAGTAGATACAACTGTGATGGAATGACCACACCGTAAGGATGAATAACGAGCGCCTGGTCGTGTGGCCATTAAACGGCGACGTTATTACAGACGCTTTCAGACAGGGCAGACGCAAGCGCCGTTAGAAGGACCGCCTGAGGCAACGCAATACCGATGACTACGAGGACCTAGCTAAACATCGACAGGCTTGGTGTAAGGACTGGACCTGATATATTTGAAGCCAAGCAAGTGGCCGTTGCTCGGGGCAAAAAGAGAGACTCATAAGATGGAAGAATGAAGCATGTCCCCAGGCCCTTCTAATCGTATTTAGATTGTCAACGACCATTCACGATGGGGATCGGTCACAGTGGCCGATTGAAAACCCAATGCAATCTTAACACGACTAACCGACTCCTCATCTCATAAAATGCCACCACTAGTTCTGACTCTTCCACCAATGTGTACTTAGTACTACATTGCCCCTATTGAGGTCAGATTTTCGAATCATCAATCGACGTGGTCGGTCACGTGTCAATCCACCGCACCGGCGCCAAGAGCCTCAACATACACCTATAATTTCCATATCACCTGTCCACACCGTCCTCAGACATTCGGTCACCGCACTACCGGAACCTGTTGATAAAGCAATACAGTCTAGACTCCATCGCCGCAATTCACCCTATTTGTACACATAAAGCTCCTCCACTTTGCGCGTATGCACATCAGCCCCCTTGTAAAACACTACACCTCATTCCTGCAGCAAGTCCTCGGCGATCTGGTGGGTGACACACACAGCATGCAAAAGGTGCACATCTCACTTAAGTGGGAAGCATGTACGTCGGCATAACCTGGCACAGAAAGTGGGGAGCAAGTCGTGCGTGGCACGCTGAAGCAAGCTCTTCAATTGTCAGCCACTGCGCCTCATCGATCAAAAACTGGTTGATAGGCTTAGACAACCGACTGATGCAAGGGAAAGGGGAGAAAGCCAAGCGAGGTCGACACTGCAGAATACATTCTCAGAACACTGTCAGTGCATTCCTTACCATTAAAAG